TTTACCTGCCTTCCACCGTCCTGAGGAAACCAGTTTTATCTTATACAAAATGACTCAGTCTTATAAGAAAGCAAGCTGATATCCAGTTTCATCTGCATGAATTAACTTGCTTTTTTTCTTCCTCTTTGCAACAGGAAGCGCATAGCAGGCTTCTATGTAAAAATCTTACTGTAGTTCTGATCTTTGTTGCTTATTGAATGTTGGCATAGTTCCCCCATGTATCAAAAGGTATATAACTCCAGTGATGATTTAATGATAATGCCAGTGGTGGCTTTGGCTTATTGACTTGCAAAATTGCATTGAGAGCTCATCGTTCCCAGTGAAAAAAATAATGTTTTACTTTCCTTTCTGTAGTGGATAGTTAATATTCTGAAAAGACTTTTAAAGCATAAGCCTGTGCTAACATGAGAACATATCCATCTATACTTTTATTCATTCATTCATAGCTATGTAGTTCATTTACCATGTTTATGCCTGCAACCAGCAGGGACTCGCTAGCACCCCTTCTGAGTTTCAGGTGCTTTTAACAGAACCTGAATAGAGGAGCGTTTTCTTTTGGCTTTGAAAAGTTTTTACGCATGTTTTTAGACCAGGAGAGTTGTCATTCCAGTGGCACTGTTTTATTTGAGCTTTTTAATAAATTCTTTTTGTCAGTGGCTTAAAAATTTTTATGCAAAAATGTTTCCCCTCCAAGCTATACTTGACAAACATCATCTTATGCTTTTGTTTCAGAGTTTCGTGGATTCATATGGTACGTTATAAAAGTCTACTTAAAGTGCTTTTAAACTGTGGATTAAGAAAAGACTTTTTCACCCACTTGAGAAATATAAATATTGAATGTGAGAACCTTTTTAAGCATTGTTTTGCTGTAACGTGTTTTTCAAAAAAATTTTTTTTAATATTTCAGTTTGCTCTGGTAAATATGTTTGAAAAGGATTAGCACATTCAGTAGTCCAATCAAAATAATGTTTTAAATATGATTGCTATAGAATTAAAATCTTTTTGGCTTGTACTTGTGAGAGAAATCTGTTGTTCCAAGTATTTTAGTATGTTTTTGCATCTGAATTTATACAGATTTTTTTTGTTTGAGATTAGGCATCAAGTTGCCTTTATTTAAAATTATTATTTTAATCTTGTACTTGGTGCACTATAGGTGTGTTTTAGTGTGTAGTATAGTACAGTATTGTACACATAGGCAAAATTGCATATTCTAGTCCTGCAGCACTAACAGTCTAAATTGCTCGAAGGGGCATACACAAGATTTGCCTTCTGAAATAGGGTATGAATGTGGGATCTCATAAAATCTTTAGCAGCAACATTTCAGGACAGCCATATTACTTAGGCATTGTAAAACCATGAGTGAAATATGTAGAGCTTCTCAAACGAGTAATTAAAAACTTTATAGCACCCCAAGCCCTTGCATAAATGATTACATATTCGATGCAATTTTGTTAGTGCAAAATGACTTTGAAATCGCTTATTCTCATTTTCTTCAGTTCCTATTTCTTTATTGTTTCTTCCTACTTTACCTCAAATTACTTTACTTGCTCATTTGACTTGGTCCTCTTGTCTCTGGTAGAAGGGTAGCATGTCCACAATGAGCTTCTCCCTAGCCTTGCTGTTTGACTTCAATCCAGGTCGCATCAACTTCCTTTAGCCTACGGTGTATCCTTTCCTCTAGGACTATTTTGGTTTTCCTGTCTTGTAAAAAGGTTAAAAGCAGAAGTTTAAGTTTTATGGTACGAGGCTTTGGATGCTCAGTTTGTTCACATCTTTGGGAAAGGGGTAAATGGCACTCAGTCACTGTGATCTGCTTCAATGCGAGAAGGGTCTCCAGTGGCATGGGGCTTCTTGAGTTGGCTGATGGTATGGGTAGGGTTTGATGGCTGAGCTTTAAGACAGAGAATATGATTTCATGTGAAATGTAGCTCCCTGGCACTGAGGAGGTTCAGCATTGGTGCAGTTTTTGGTATGGGCACAATAGGTTCCAGTGTCTTAGGGCTGTTGAGAGGAAGCTGCTTTTTCTTTTGAGAAAAGTGCTTCATTTTCAATGCAAGGAATGATATGGCTTGTGTATCCAGGTTAAGAAGGTTGGATTGGGTTGTGAAGGTGACCCTTTCAAGGTTAGGTTTTTGTTTGCCATGATCACCCTTCTTCCTCTTGAGTTTTTAATGAGCTTATAGTACTCCTTTCACCAGGCTTGTTTTGTAGTTAATCAGTTAATCTCACATTGCAGGGCTTCTGTTGGTTTTCTGTACAGAGCAGGGATGTTTTTCATCTAAGAGCACAATTTGGAGGTCTTTGTTCTCCCCAAATATTAAGACAGAAATATGAACTGGCAGGATAACAACCCTATGCCATCATGGGAAATGTGCCCATGTATGCAGGAAAGTGGAAAGATTTGTGCTGGAGTTTATTGAGGCTTAATGAAAGAAGGTAGAGCATGTTAAGGGAGCATCGTCACTCAGGGTCTAAAACAGTGGGGGCCAACCCTTTTGTGAGGTGTGCCACAAATTAGCTGTGAGCCCTCCCCGAGAGCCACTCTGATCCTTCTCCTGCCTAATCTGCTGCCTTTTTTTCTGCTCTTTGCACTATTTGCCACTGTGCTGCCAGTCCCTTTCCTGATCTTCTGCATATCACACACACAGGCTGTCTGTGGCATGCATGCTGCAGGTTGGCCACCCCCGGTCTTGAGGATGCAAATGATCCACGAACTGGAAGGATAGGATTAATGCACGCAGGCATGGTCTCTCAGCTATATTGTTTACTATAATGCAGGGGCTTTCAACCTTATTTGAGGAGTGTACTCTTTTTGGTGAGTGGTACTCCTGGTGGATACCCCCTTTTGGATGTGGAGCTGGGTGGATGCCCCAGTGGCCAGTCAAGCAGGAGACCAAATGTGACGGGGCACTCAGCAGCACACCACGTACCCCCTAGGGCCTTCCCAAATACCCCCAAGGGTATGCGTACCCTGGTTCACAACCCCTGCTACATAACATATTAAGTTTATAAGTCCCTTGGAAGTATATTGGTAATGGAGGAAACCTTGCTGTCATCAGTATGAATGGAGCTGAGTTCAGAGAACTTGGGAGGGAGGACTGCAATGCTGAAATTCTGTTTTTGGTGTACGTATTATTCAACAGGGGTTTTTATTAGCTGTTGGCTTTCATGGTGCTCCAAAGCTAACTTCTGTCTTATTGCTTTTCTAGCACTGAGCTTTCCTGGTGGGTGTCACCTGCACAGTGTTCAGTGGTGCAAAATGTAGTACTAGAGCTCATAAAGTGCTGCTAACTCTGACTGGTGAATAGATTGTAATGGAGTTTGTGATGCTTGCAAATGTCATCTGAAGTCAGCTTATAAAATGTCTTAAAGCAATTCTTGACCAGTCTCAGATGGCAGGTGGTGTGACAGAGCTGTTTATTGAAAGCATGGCAGGGGATAGCCTTACAATGCTTGTAAGTCTTGGATGAGCTCTGCTTTAGAAGGCAGAAGGATTCCTATTGATTTCAGGCATTTCACTAGAGAAGGAAATAAAATGAGAGCACATTTTGTCCATTGGAATTCCAGAGTTAATTAGGAAAGAAACCTGTAAATCGGCCAACTTGCCTTTTGTTCCCCTCCTCACTTTGTCTGGTGTATATAGGCTAGAATAAAACTTCTGGACTTCTGGCTTCTTATCTGCTGGGTTGCTCATAAAGGTGGGTTTTGAAACCTGTACGTGACTGAAACATGAGTTGTTGGTTCTCATAGTTTAACTGGTTTATGCTGTTTTATTCTGTCATAGGTTTGGTTGGTAATGGTTATAGTGTTAAAGAAAGATGTTCAGACTTCTGGAAGGCAGTTGACTTTATAACCGTATGGCATTTTGATTAAGAAACTAGACGATAAGATAATTAGCATGGCACATATTAACGGAATAGACAAATGGCTGTCTCAAAGTGTTATTGTAAATGGGGAATGGTCATCATGCAATATTTCATAGACATTAGGGCGGGAAGGGACCTCTGAAGATCATCGAGTCCAGCCCCCTAAGATATGTTTCTATCAAGTTTGTACAGGGACCAGTGCCTTGAGCCTACCTTATTTAACATTTTTATCTGTGACCTGGAAGCAAACATAAGATCTTCCCTGGTAAAATGTTAATACTTGGGGAGTGCTAAATAACGAAGAGGACAAGTTACAGATATCGAGCGGTTTACAGCTTTTGGTAAGCTAGGCACTAGTGAAGGCACCTATTTCAATGTGCTTAAATGTAAAGATGTATATCTCAGGATAAAGAACGTAGGCCTCGCTTATAGGATGTGTGACTGTCTTGGGAAGCAGTAACTCTGAAAATGACGTGTTATGCAGGGTGAACATGTTTCCAAAAATACGGTGGCTAAAAGAGGTGACATGATCGTTGGATGGCTAAACAAGGGCATCTGGAGGAGTAGTGGGCAGTTGGTAGTTCCTGTGTGTTTGGCTCAAGGCTGCTTGCTGCTGGAGAGCTCTGTCCACTTTTGCTGTTGGCCATTCATTAAGGGTGTGGACATATGGGACAGGGTTCGGGGAAGAGCCATGAGGTTGCATAAAGGATTGGAAATCATGTCTAGATTCAAGGAGCTCAATTTGTTGAGTTTATCAAAGAGAAGCGGAGGCTTAAGGGTCTGAAAAGTACCTTCACAGTGAACAAAGGTTTGATAATGGGCCCCTTCAGTCTGTCAAACAAGGACCTGAAACTCAAGCTGGACAAAACTGAGCTAAAAATAAGGTATAGATTTTAGACAGTGAGTGTAATTACCCGTTGAAAAAACTTACTATGGGTTGTGATGGATTCTCCGATAATGGCAATTTTCAAATCAATGTTGGATGTGTTTTTAAAGGAAATGCTGTAGTTGAAATAGGAATTAATTCAGGGGAGTCCAATTGCTACATTATTCAGGAGGTCAGACCAGAGGATCACAGTGGTTCCTTGTGGCAGTATAATTTGAGTAATTTGAGGCTTCTGTTTTGTTTGGTAGGTATGTTGATGACGTGATCAACCGCATTGACAGGATGTTCCCTGAGATGTCCATCCAGCTATCCCGACCCAATGGTACCTCTGCAATGCTTCTGGTAAGCTTGGTTCTCAGGGACTCGCTTGGGATGGGTTGCATAACTGTCACTGGCATACATACCCCAAAGCCCCAAGCCCATTTCAAAAGAGTACTCTTGAGGTCGTACAACAACACCACACGCTTCTTTCTCTCTAAAGGAGGATGAGAAAATATATACAAAAGTAATCCAAAAGTAAGGACAGCCAGTTCTGCAAAACTTCTTGGGAGACCTGAGAAGCAGGTATATCAGCCTACAGACTGCAAACTGGGAGTCCCAGTCTTATGCAAGGGAAGTGTAAAAGGAAAGGTTGAGGAGAAACTAAGTTGCTTCACTTGCTTTGTGTTCACTAATAACTAGCAGCCAGTGGATTATAGGATATGTTGCTCAAAAGGGTTTTGCCCTCTATATAAAATCTACTTCATGCATATTTTCCTCGTGATGTAGTTTCTTCTGTTGTAGCAGGGGTTAATGTATTTAATCAGAGGTGTTTGGGTTTGAAAAGAGAGGTAAATGATGAAAAAGTACCTTCTCTTCAAGAGAATAATTTTAATCTCCAAACTACTTGGGTATGATCATGTAATACACTGAGCCTGTCCGGCCTCAGACATTTTAACCATGCCTTCAGCAGCCTTAGCAGTGAGAGAAGATTTAATGACAACTTAAAAAAAAAAATTATCCTCTGTGAAATAGGCTTGTCCAAATTGTTTCTGGGTCAGTGATTTTCTATTCCCTGATGAAGTCAGGAAGTTGGCATCAGAGTGCATGAACAGTAAAAACTGGCTTATTGATAAACAGGTCTAAGGTATTAGACTTACTTCTGCCTGAGCAAACAAGCTTTCATTCCACAAGAACCTATTAAACACATCAATTTTCTCATACAGCTGTTGTATTAATATCAAGGAAGGAGACTTTAGAGTTTCCAGTGCAGCATATTAACTTGTTGAAGTGAAGAGCGTTGAGCTGTGCCAGTGGAACACTTCAGTATGAAATGTAGCTATTTTTATTGTATTGAGATGGAAGTAGACGTTCCATTATTTACCATATTGAAAATACAATGGAAAAGTAGTATCCTATAACTGGGAGGGGACCTATTCAGTCTTTTTCCATCTCTGCTTCACTGCATTTCCCTATTACAGTTGGGTTCTTTCCCGTTGTTGTACAAACAGTTATGAAAAGATTGTATATTATGTATGTATATGTATTTCCTTTTTTACAAAGTGAAGGTGAAAATGAATCTCAAATCAGAATAATTGAAGCAACAAGCATCAGAGCTATGGAACCAGTTTAATATACTAGATTTTCACCTTCAAGTGTTGGCCACTATAAACTCCTTTTTACTGTAATGATTTAAACTTGATTTTTTTCAAGAAGGGAAAAGAAAGTCTTGCAAAAACCTGTGCCGATTTGTAATTATTGCATCCAAGTAGGCATTGTATTACCTTTTCTTCTTGGCAAAGAGTTAAAGCTTGCTTTTTAATATTCAGTCTGAGCCAAGGTTGAATCAAACAGCAAAACATAAGTTTAAATATTTTTGTGACTCAATGCCAGAATTGTTACTTAAATCTTGAGTTGTTTTCATGGACTCCGTAGACCTTGGAATCCTCACTATGGAAAGATATCCCTTGCCCTCCTTGAAGGAGTAAGTTCACTTATCCATGATAATAAGTCTAGCGGTGATTATATTTAGTTTCAGTTAATAATGGAGTGTTAGTTAGTTGATTGATTTTTCTTTTAAAGGACAAAAATTATTTTAAAAAATGAACCGTCAGAGGTTAAAGTAGCAACCAGCTTTCACTGGCTTCGGAACATTTAATCTGCAATTGTTTAATTTGCCAAGGGGTACAATATAGTCCATGAAAAATTGAATTCAGTAGCACAATCCTAAGAAACCATATATTTTCACTTACAATGATGGCTTGAAACTTGCTCTTAGGTTTTCTTATATTTAACCCTTTCTGTGTGTAATAAAAATAAAATAAAAAGAAAATGTTTTTTTTAAAAGTCATTTTTATTTATGCACTTTGAACTTATTTGTGCCATAGACTACTTTGTGTCATATACTGAGCATCCTTATCTGCTCTATTTACTGGGAGACAAGGGCAATCAGTGTTTATCAAGCTTCAAAAACAAATTGGTCAAACGTGCAGAGCATGTGAGGTGTAAACTGGAAAAAATAATTTAGGTTGAAAGAGTTGTGGTTGTAAAAAAAAACCTGTTCTTTGTGATAAAGAACAACTTGCTGAGCAGGGGCATCATTATTGGTAGTAGATTCCTGCCCCGTACCGGTCCAGCGGTGTTCACTTTTCACTTGGCATTCACCTACTCCAGGAACAGTGATCACAAAACCTTGTTTTCAAAGTGTTTGCTGTATATGGTCATGACAGGTTTGTCGTTTCTCCTCTCAAGGCAGCTTTTCCTTCTTTCCCATCTGTCTCAGTGGATGTTGCCAACATGGCAGTATCCATCTGGCCTTGACTGCTGGAAAAGCTTTTGCTGTTTTCAGCCACCAGTCATCCTGTGAAAGTTGTTATAAGATGGGCTGTGAGATGAGCACCTCTGTCACTGGGGACAAGTGAAGCTTGGTAGAAACAAGAGTCCCAAGTCGGTGTGGTTCAATTCAAAGGGCTTGGCCAACGGCTCTGCCCCAGCACCAAGTAGTTCACGAGACACTGCTCATTTTGTTAAAAAAAAAAAAAAGATAAATCCCCTCACCAAGTAGTCTTCATTAGATAACTGTTTGCTTTCATCGATGTAACCTTAATCCATTTTTTCCCTACTGTTTGGTTAGCTCCCAGTCTTGCATCATGTTAAAAAGGCTCTTCTGCAGGGGTTTTCAACCAGGTGTACACGTAGGGGTATCGCAGGGCTTTTCAACCTGGTGCAGGTGGGGGGGTACCCCCACTGGCACTTCTTCCACTGCTGGTTGGCCGCTGGGGGGACCCCCCCCTGCTCATCAACTGCCCGCTGGGGGAACCCCTGTTTGTCCACCGTCCGCTGAGGACTACTTCCCTCTCAACCGGCCACCGGGGGTACACAGACCCAAAAAGGATGAAAACCTCTGTTCATTTGGAAGCTTTTTGAGGTGGAGGTTGGTGGGTCATCTTATTTCGCTTGTGGGGCATCCAACACCTGATCTCACGATTCAGTTTCCGGGTGGGATCTATAGGCTTATTTATGAGGGTACTGGCAAGATAGATAAATATAGCAAGAATGCCCAAAGTAGTGTGGCCCTCAGTTTTAAAAATCGAGCTAGATTGTACCACAGCAAGTGGAAGGGACAAAACCAGTGCGAAAGTGGCCACGGAGGGGATACACCGAGTTGGAAACGCTGGCGGGTGGAGGGAGGTGGAGATGGCAAGCTTCCTCAGGTAGGGTAAAGTTAACCCTGTGCATTGGGGACTCTTTCCGGGAGGCTTCAGGGGACACTCCTGGAATTCTGCTTCTCGGCACCTTAGGAGAAGGTAGGTGCAGAGACTGAGAGACCATCCTCTGGTCTGGGACTCCAACCTCCTGTTTAGTTTGCAGTGAGGATATGATTTTTGTCCCCCTAGCTTGAATATTCAAAGGCAAGACAATTCTACATGCAGCCCCCTGTGCAGAAAATTCTCACGAAGAAGACGATCCTTTGCGTTGCTGTTCATATGTTTTTATTTCACGCCTGGTAGCATATGTTCTGCTTATTAAGGTCTCTTTGGGTGTCATTTTGAAGTTCTAACGCTTAATTATTCTTAACCATCTTTGCAGGGAAAATAATAGTTCTGAATGTTTCACAAGTGGGAAAATGCGCGTTTGCTAGACCACTTACTAGCTTCAAAATGGCTGAAGAGGTTTGCTCAGCCTTTCCCAATAAATGGCCTAAAGGAGAGGATGGTG